GGACGAATGCGGAAAGGACCGCGGCCAAGTGTTGCTGCGGTGGTTTTCCGATACCATCATGCAGCTTCCACCAAATATTCGTTTCTTTCTGACCGGGCGGCCGGACGTTCCATTATACGTCAAGTTTGACAGGCTGCGCCCATCAATACATCCAATGATTCTCGACGAGATCGAATTCGCTGTAGTCCAGCGGGATATTCGGTTATACGTTGAAAGATCATTAGATGGAAGTACCTGGACAACACAAGAGCCCTGGAAGGCGCAGATCAGTGATGTGGAGGAAATAACCAATCGCGCAGGGGGGCTCTTTATTTTTGCCGCCACCGCCGTTCGCTATGTGCTTACAGGATTACCCCAGGAGCACCCTCAGCGCTCCGTTGACTACCTCCTCAAGGGGGCCCCGCTAATGGATATACATGATCTTTATCATCGTATTGTCGATGAGGCTATTGCGATGCCACGGGCAGATGACCACCGTGCAGTAGATTTCCGCGACCGCGCCACAAGGATCCTTGGGACCATTTTGCATCTGGTGGAACCTCTATGTCTCCAAAGTCTCGCTGCATTGCTCGACATAGACGCAGAGGACCTCAGAAGAACCCTACTCCCTTTGAGTGCCGTCATCCGGGTGCCCGACACGGGCCGGGGCACTTTACGCATCATTCATCTCTCATTCAGAGAATTCATGACCTGCAATATCAGAAAAACCCGCGCTGACCTCCTCTGCGGCACATTGGATCAGCAATCCTCTGTGCTGTGTCACCTACTACGTGTTATGCATAAAGAGCTTCGGTTCAACATTTGCGATCTGCCAACATCGCACTTACGGAATCTCGATATGCCCGATTTTCAACGTCGGCTGGACACATACATCCCAGCCCATCTCAGATATTCGTGCCGATTCTGGGTAGATCATCTTGCGGCAATATCTTATAATTCTGTCACTGCACAGATTGTGGAGGAATTCCTTTTGGACAAATTCCTATTTTGGCTGGAGGTCCTGAGCTTACTAGGGATGGTGGGGCAGGCACCACCGGCTCTCTCAAAACTCATTGCATGGATCGATGAGGTACGAATATTTCTGGCATTGTTTTTCCATTCCTCAATGACATATTGGACCGGAACACTAGGATCTGCCCATCGTTCGATTCGCTACGGATGCAAACAGATTTGTTGCGTTCTTTGCGGATGCCATCATTCAAAGTGCTCCACATATATACGTGTCGGCATTGGCTCTGGCGCCCGTCCAGTCGGAGATTAGTCAAAATTTTCGACCTCAATTCCCCCGATTACTATCAATTACCAAAGGACAGATGAAGAAGTGGCCGGCTACAAGAGCGGTGTTGGAGACTCACACCAGCCTGGTCACCTCCATCGCTTTCTCACGGGATCACAAACGGATTGTGTCCGGCTCCGATGATAGAACCGTTCGAATATACAACGCAGAGAGTGGGGAGCAACTTTGTGAGCCGTTTGAAGGCCATACGGAGCGGATCACATCCGTCGCATGTTCTCCAGATGGCAAGCACATTGTTTCCGGTTCCTGGGACCAAACACTTCGTATTTGGAATGTGGAGAGTGGGGAAGCATTATGTGGGCCGTTAAAAGGCCACACAGACCAAGTCACCTCCGTGGCATTCTCCACTGATGGCCACTACATTGCTTCGGGCTCCGAGGACTGCACCATTCGCATTTGGGACGCAGAGAGCGGGAAGGCATTGGGCCACCCGTTCGAGGGTCATGATCGCTGTGTTACTTCCGTTGCATTCTCACCCGACGGCTCGCGTATCGTATCCGGCTCCCACGACCACACACTACGCCTATGGGATGTTCAAAATCCGAAGGCACCAGGTGAGCCGCTCGTAGGACACACGAACCACGTCACCTCGGTCGCATTCTCATTGGACGGTGTCTGTATTGTGTCCGGCTCCCACGACCACACAGTGCGATTGTGGGATGCGGAGACTGGGACAGCACTTGGTGAACCATTCACAGGCCATACCGACTGGATCACCTCTGTTGCATTCTCGCCCGATCGAAAGATGATTGTGTCGGGCTCCTACGATAGCAATGTGCGGGTGTGGGGTGCAGACAGCGGGGAGACGGCTGGTCAGACCCTTCACGGACACACTGCATGTGTCTCTTCTGTGGCTTTCTCCCCTGATGGGACATGTATTCTGTCCGGATCCCACGACCACACAGTGCGCGTGTGGGATGGACTGAACGAGGAGCGGTTTGAACAACAGTTTGACGGCCACACCGGTTTAGTGACATCCGTTGCTTTCTCGTATGATGGAAAGCGCATCCTGACAGGCTCGTGGGACAACACTGTGCGACTATGGGACTCTGAAAGTGGGGAGCTTGTCTGCGCACCGTTCGAAGGCCACACCGCCTCCATCTCAGCGGTCACTTTCTCCTCTGACGGTGCTCACTTCGCATCCGGTTCTAAAGACCACACAGTACGTGTGTGGAATATGGAGACCCGGGATTATACATTGTTTGAAGGCCACAGTAGCTGGGTCACCGCAGTTGCATTTTCACCTGATGGCAAGCACATCACATCCGGGTCCAAGGACAAGACTGTGCGCGTATGCGATGCACTGACTGGCCGGGCCGTGGGTGAGGCCTCAGAAGGCCACACTGATATGGTCACCTCGGTTACATTCTCACCCGACGGGACGCGTATTGCATCTGGTTCCCACGATCATTCAGTGCGGGTCTGGGATGCAGAGAGCGGGAAACCCCTCGGTAATCCTTTCAATGGCCATACTGACTATGTGCGATCAGTCAGCTTCTCGCCAGATGGAATGCGCATTTGTCTGGCTCCCACGATCGCACAGTGCGTGTATGGGATGTTAAAAGCGGACAGCTGCTTGGCCGGCCATTTACGGGGCACACGGAGTGGGTAACATCAGTTGCATTCTCACCCAATGGCAAGTACATTTTGTCTGGCTCATGGGACAACACTGTGCGAGTGTGGGACTCCCAAAGTGGGGAGCTGGCCTGTGCACCATTTGAAGGCCACACCGCCGCCATTCAAACGGTCGCATTTTCCCCGGATGGCAGGTACATCTGTTCCGGCTCCCGGGATACGACCGTGCGCGTATGGGTGGTACAGTCTCCGATGGGGTGTTTTGAACCAATTGCGACCAGGCATAGTGGCAATTCTCCCAACTCTCGTGATCCAGGTTCGATCACAGTGAGTTTATGTTTTAGGTTCACCAAGCCGACAGAAAGCATTCACCGTTCTGTTGCAGTATGGCGGTGAGCCCTGTGCTCTCCCACATTGGAGGATTGATCAAGGATGGGTGTCTTTCAAGTCATCTGAGCTTCTGTTTTGGCTTCCGAGCCCACATAGAATTGGGTTCTGGTTACCACACAGCAAGTTGGTGATTGGTACGCAACAAACGTTACTCTCGTACAAGAAATTTGTGCATGGTACGGAGTGGACGCGATGTCACCTTTCGGGGAACCCTTCATGAACGATTTTTTGACGAGGGGTAATGTGAGATGGTGTAGGCACCTCCAAATCATTGACTTCACACGGTTCAGTTTGCAGATACATCATATAGTTTTGAGTTTGACCCGAATTGTAAGCACCCCCCTCTTTGGGTAGGTGACAGTTTCCTTTGTCCCGTCCACAACTTTTGTGGGAATTCCGAACTCATTTCACAAAAATGCATCAGGTTAGCAATTGATCCTGCTTCTGTTCCGCAACAGAATTTGAGGATGGAATGGATTTAAGTCAAGTGCTTAAAGGAGCCCAACTTCCCAAGCAGTCATAATAGAACCGCAGCGGCTATTTACGAGTACTTATGTAATTGTTCTTTTAATCAATCGAAATGAGGTTTTGGCATGCTCGTTGCATTTTGTCCCCATCTATTCGTGTAATAAATTGATGGCATCTCTGTCGTTAAATACCGCCGCATATGAAACCCCTGGCATCTTCCTCCTTTCTTATGTCTTCACCACTGCGTGAATATTTTCCTCAATGCACTCACTAATTTCCTTCACGATAATCCGTTGGCCCTATGTCAAGATGTCCAACTTTGTTGGAAGCCCGTCGACAACGGCGTTGTTGCGAGAAAAACCACGGGTCAGATGAGCACTGGGACTACAAAGACAGAAGGTCTGGAAAGAAAAAAAGTTCGTGCCTCTCACCGCAGTGCCCCCGGGAGGAATCGAACCTCCGTCTCCTCGTTGTACCAAGTAGCCTGGGCATTATTAATTCGAGGTGACCACAATAGTCCACGGGTGCTTGAAAGCTACATCTCGCGCCCTTGGAAGTGCGGATAAAAATGTCGAGTGGATGCAGAGCGAAAAGAGCATGCTTGACCCGTACTAGTAGTGCCCGCTGGAAGAATCGAACCTCCATCTCCTCGTTGTACCAAGTAGCCAGGCCACTATTAATTCGAGGTGACCACCATGGTCCATGAGGGCTCTCTAGCTACCTTTCGCACTCTTGTAAGTACAGCTAAAATAAGCTGAGTTGGCATAAAAGAATTTACAGCACTGTTATGCCCGCGGGAGGAATCAAACCTCCATCTCCTCCTCGTTGTACTAGGCAGCCGTGAGACTATTAATTAGAGGTGACCACCATGGTCCACGGGGGCTTCCTACCTCCGTTTCGAGCTCTTATAAGTGCAGATAAAATGTTGAGTGGATGCAGAGAGAGAGAAAATGTCTCAACCTATCGAATAGATACGCCCCCGACCACCATGGTCCACGGGGGCTTTCTGCCGCCGTTTCGCACTCTTGTAAGAGCATATAAAATATGGAGCTGCATGGGATAAAGAAAAGATCATACAAGTCAAGACTATGCCCCCGGGAGGAATCGAACCTCCTTCTCCTCGTTGTACGCAGTAACTAGGGCACTATGGATTCGAGGTGACCACCATGGTCCACGGGGGGCTTTCCACCAACGTTCCGTGCCTTTGTAAGTGCGGCTAAAATGGTGATCTGGATACCGCGTGAAAAAGTGTGCAACTCTCTCATCGCAGTGCCCCCGGGAGGAATCGAACCTCCGTCTCCTCGTTAGCATCCTTCGCAGCGATTCAAAGAATTCGAGGCGACCACCATGGTCCACGGGGGCTTGCAGACTGTATTTCGCACTCTTGTAAGTGCCGCTGGACTGTTGAGCTGGTCCCGAAAAATAAAAAAGTACCGTATCATCCCCCCCAAGAGGAATTGAACCTCCGTCTGCTCGTTAATCATCTAACCGGGCGATACAGATTCGAGGCGACCATCATGGTCCACGGGGGCTCGTAGAATACAGTTCTCTCCCTTATAAGTGCAGATAAAATGGGGAGCTGCATGGAATTAAAGAGAGGGCAGACACAGCAAGGGCAAGACCGTGCCCCCGGGAGGAATTGAACCTCTGACTCCTCATTAGCCGAAATGCAAGTTTCAAATAACTCGAGGCTACCACCATGGTCCACGGGGGCTTCCTAACTCCCTTTTGGTCCTTGCTAAATGCATCTCCTGGCTAGAACTCTGTAATAATAAAAAATCATCACGTAGCACCCATGCCCTCGGGAGGATTCGAACCCCCTTTCCTCCTTCATTAGCTCTACGACTCCATGATTCGGAGGCGACCGCCACGGTCTACGAAGGCTTTCTTACTCCTTCTAATTCCTTGCCAAATGTATCTCCTGGTGGTCCACAACTTCACAAAAAAAGAGACAATCCATATCCATATTAGGCCCCTCAGAAGAATCAAACCTTCAAAGCTCAACGACGTACATATTATGAAGCGGAGGCGACCGCCACGGTCCACGAAGGCTTCCTAACTCCCTTTAATTCCTGGCAAATGCACCTCCTGGCTAGAACTCTGTAATAAAAAAAATTCACCGCGAATCTCTCATGCCTTCGAGGGGAATCAAACCCCTCCTTTCTTTCAACTTTCCACGCATTATACATCATGAAGCGGAGGCGACCGCCACGATCCACGAGGGCTTTCTTTCTCCCTGTGGTCCCCGCCAACTGTGTCTCCTGGCTAGAACTCAGCAACGAAGAGAATATTATGAAACAGAGGCAACCACCATAGTCCACGAAGGCTCCCTTACTCTTGTTCGTTATATGCTGAATGCATCTCCCGGCTGTCCATAACTGCGCAAAAAAGATTCGAGTTCATAACCTAGTGCCTTCGGGAGGAATTGAACCCCCACTCCTCCTTCGTAATTTCCACTTCCACCTGTCATGAAGCAGAGGCGACCACCGCGGTCCACGAAGGCTTACTTACCCTCTTTCGTCCCTTGTTAAATGCATCTCCTGGTGGTCCACACCTCTGTGAACCAAGCGGGGAAAAAGCAGAAAATGGACACAATCAGTGCCTTCGAGGGGAATCGAACCCCCTCTCCTCCTTCAAAGTACTATGCATCACTCTTATGAATTGGAGGCGACCGCCACGGTCTACGAGGGCTTTCTAGCGCCTTCTTGTCCGTCGCTAAATGCTCTCCTGGCGATCCACACCTCTGCGAACCAAGGTAAAAAAGGCAGCAAACGGATACAACTGAGTGCCTTCGTGGGGAATCGAACCCCGCTCCTCCTACCAGACTTCGCACTTGATATGAACCGGAGGCGACCGCCGCGGTCCACGAATGCTCCCTAACTGCCTTTGGTCTCTTGCTGAATGTGTCTCCTGACGGCCGAAGGCAGTCCAAACAAAATAAGAAAAAAATCTTCCCACAAATTTCGTCATGCCCTCGGGAGGAATCGAACCCCCTCTCCTCCTCCCATGTTTCCTACTTGCACATTAAATGAAGGCGACCCGCCACGGTCCACGAGGGCTTACCTGCACTCTTCCGTGCGTTGGGAAGTGCACTTGAAAATCACGCAATAAAAATGAGTTTCGCCGAGACGACAACTCACGCAGTGAATGCATCCCGTCGATGACCGTGTCCGTCGTCGTCCGTCTTCCCTCATCTGGCACGACCTCGGCGCAAGCCAGCCGCGACCGCATACGGCATCCCGCTCAAAAAGCACCGCACTCGCAAAAACACCACCCACTCCAAGACCCACTCCAAACGCCGACAAGTGGTCCGTGCACGCGCCGATCGGCCGATCATATCCGATGACGGAGTGTATCGCTACCACTGGGACCCACACCTCGCCGCTGAGCTCAAGTCAAGCGAATGGAGAGGAGAGTCGGCGTGAAACGTTAACGAGGACGATAGAGGGGTGTCATGGCACGTCTCGGGATCGCCGTAAGCCGTAAGCGGGTGCGGGATGAGGTGAGGCTGAGGTGAGGCGAGAGTCTGAGATCGATGCTAACAGCCCGTGCATGTGGGCCCGGGAGTCGTGAAGTACACGGGAGCGAGCCAGCTAACCCCGCACCGTAACGTGAGGCAGATCACATTCAAAGACGGGAACGGCAACGGCACGCTGCACGCCGGACGCACGCAGCGCCGACGCTAGTCCATATGGGGCGAGCGACATCGACGCCGGTGGCGACCGACGGACGGGGGCGTACATGGACCGACGGATGAGGGCTGAATGACGACGAGGAGGACGACGAGGACCGCGAGGGCATCTGCGTCGCAGACATGAGGGAGGAGCAGTACCAAAGCTCGGACTGGAGCCCCGGGGACGAGCGGGGGAGGCGCAGAGGGGAGACGAGACTAGTACTGTCTAGACACAGCGACGCTTCGCAAGCACGGAGAGGATAGGCATATGTCCATAGATTGCCATAGATGACAGACCGAGCCATACATAGATAGCGATCATGACAACGACAGCGCAAACGAGGAAGGAATAGATAAATTCAAGGCGCAAGAGGGCCAGGCCAGGCCGGCGTACATGCAAGATCGGGCGGGTAGGGGTGGGTGGGGGTGCCGCAGCGGGAGGAGAGGAGAGGATACTAGGTGACAAGGAAGTAGAAGAGGGAAGAAGGGGAAACCTAACTACGAGGAAAACCAAGGAAGGAAGGAAAGCCACACAAGGAAGGAAGGAATATGAGACAAGGAAGGAAGAGGAAGTAGGAGGAAAGGGAAGAGGATACACGAGACGTACATACATACAACACGTACGGTAGGCGAGTAGATGATAGATAAGGGATAGGGATAAGCGATAGCAGGGGCAGAGCGGCGGTGCGGGTGCGGGGTCCTTCCATCCGTCCGGGACACACGACGGGACCGGGCAAGGGGATTAGACCTGTGAGGGGGCGTCAGCACACGCATTCATATACACGCAGCGGGGAAGGGCGGGGGAGCAGGGAAGGGGAGAGAAGAGGGGAGGGAAGGAGGGAAAGAGAGAGAAGGACGCACCGCTGCAGCCTCCGCCTCGGCGGCCTCTGCCTCTGTCTCCTCCGCGATGGTCTCGCCGACGACGGGCGCAGACGATACGGGGGCAGCTTCGGCCTGGGGGCGAGCGTTAGTCAGCATCTGAGACACACAAGGGCGGGCGAGCGGGGGGCGGGGCGGGGGGCGAGACACACCTTGGATGCAGGCTTCTTGGAGCCGGCTCGCGACGCGGGCTTGACGGACGCCTTCGAGGCGGGCTTGGCGGACGCCTTGGACGCGGGCTTCGCGGCGGCGGCCTTGGACGGGGGCTTGCTTCCGGGTGCAGCTTTGCTCGCGGGCTTAGCCTGAACATGGGGTCAGTTGGGGCGTTCCTAGAAGACTTTGGGTGGCACCGTCGCTGACCTTCTTGGCCGGTGGGGCCTCAGCGTCGTCCTCGGGAGCAGTAGCGTCGCCGTTGGTCTCTGTAGTGTCCTTGCGCTTGCGGCCGCGCTTGGGCTTGTCCTCGTCACCCTCCTTGGGCTCCTTCTTCGCGCGGGGCTTGGGGGTCTTCTTGACGGGGGCCTCGACCTTGGGCAGGTCCTTGATACGGGACGAGCGGCGGGGCTCGCCTCCGGGGGCGGCGGCGGTCTCGCCATCGGCGGCTGCGGCGGCTTTTCTGGGCATGGCTGGATGGGGGAGTTTTGGGGGTGGGGGTGCGGGGTGGATGGGCGCAGGAGGCAAGACGCGTGAGGCCCCCACCAACGTTGCACCTGTTTGGTCTCCCTCCCCCGTTTTCCCATCACGTGCGTCGCGTCAAGCGATCAACACAACATACACTTTTCGCGTCCTTTAGGTCAACTTGGGCGCAAGGGCCTTGGAACTCCTGGGAGACGTGTCGAACATCAAATAGCAGCTTATAGCAATACTTTTAGTTCATCCTAGGGCAAACTTCCCAATAACAGCTTAATTCGGTAATAATGCACGGACCACTTGGGTCGTTTTACGAGTTTGGCCACTTAAAACGCCTCAAACTAACCGGATATCGTTCTTAAGTCTGTCTTGAACTAAAACCAATCAAATCGCTTAATTATCTAGCTGCAGGGAGCCCAGGGAGATCTAATTCAACGTTGGTTTAGGTACCCAGCTCAACCCACACTTACAAGGCGGCGAAAGGTAGCATTCGAGCCCCCGTGGATCATGGTGATCCCCTCAAATCAATGCCAGTTCTAATAACCTGTAGTTCAATGAGGAGCCGGAGGTTCGAATCCTCCCGGGGGCACTATTGTGGGTGTCGCTTATTTTTCACACGGTATCCAGATCACCATTTCATCCGCACTTACAAAGGCACAGAACGTAGGTGGAAAGCCCCCGTGGACCATGGTGGTCGCCTCAAATTAATTACAGGCTGGTGATTGAGTTCAATGAGGAGACGGAGGTTCGATTCCTCCCGGGGGCATAACAGTGCTGTGAATTCTTTTATGCCAACTCAGCTTTATTTTAGCTGTACTTACAAGGGGCCGAATTGCAGCTTGTAAGCCCTCGTGGATCATGGCGATCCCTCAAATTAATGAGTGCAGTGCATATGTGTAGTTCAATGAGGAGAAGGATGGTTCGATTCCTCCTGGGGGCATCGTCATTTCGTACCAGTCGTTTTTTAGCTCTCCCATCAACGTTTTACCCGCACTTGCAAGAGTGCGAAACGGAGCCAGAAAGCCCCCGTGGACCATGGCGGTCACCTCGAATCAATAGCCTGGCTACTTCGTGTAACGAGGAGACGGAGGTTCGATCCCTCCTGGGGGCATGGAAGTCCAAGAATTTGCTTTTCTTCTCCGAGTCTGCATCCACTCAACATTTTGTATGCACTTACAAGAGTGTGAAATACAGTCTGCAAGTCCCCGTGGACCATGATGGTCACCTCGAATGAATATTAGTCTCCTGGACCTCTAGTACAACGAGGAGATGGAGGTTCGAATCCTCCCGGGGGCATGGTCTTGCTCTTTGCTGTGTCTAACCTTTTCTTTATCCCATGCAGCTCCACATTTTAGTCACACTTATAAGGGCGCAAAATATAGGTTTCAAGCCCTCGTGGATCATGGCGATCCCTCAAATTTATGTGTATAGTACAAACTGAAGTTCAATGAGGAGAAGGAGGTTCGATTCCTCCCGGGGGCATTTGCAGATAGAGATACGTACTTTTTACACGCGGTATCCACTCAACATTTTGGCCGCACTTGCAAGAGCACGAAACGGAGCCAGAAAGCCCCCGTGGACCATGGCGGTCACCTCGAATCAATAATGATCCGGCCCCTTCGTACAACGAGGAGACGGAGGTTCGAATCCTCCCGAGAGCATGAGGAGACTGTCGCATCTTTTTCTCTCTCTGCATCATATCTGCACTTGCAGGAGCACGAAAAGTAGCTAGAGAGCCCCCGTGGACCATGGTGGTCGCCTCAAACTAATGAGCTCGGGTGCAGCATGTAGTGATGGGAAGAAGGTTCGATTCCTCCCGGGGGCATGGCATGCTGACGTTGCTCTTTTTCTCTCCGCGTTTATTCGACAGTTCAGCTTCACTTCCCCGGGCATGAAACGTATACTTTCAAGCCCCGTGGATGATGGTGGTCACCTCAAAATAATTAATCTGTATGATCGAGTTCAGCGAGGAGGAGACGGAGGTTCGATTCTTCACGGGGGCATCCGCAAGGTCTCGCGATGTTTTTTCTCGCTGCATCCATTCACGATTTAATCCGCACTTCGATGGGCACGAAACGGAGCCAGAAAGCCCCCGTAGACCATGGTGGTCACCTCGACCATATGAATAACAGACTCCGTATCGAACGAGGAGATGGAGGTTCGAATCCTCCCGGGCAGTGTTGTCAGGGTCAGTCAATAAAGGTCAAAAAAGGTCAATGGCACTGACTCGTCAATGCACTGACCCCGTCAATGACGGGTCATGGAGGGGTCCATCAAAATATTCTTGAGCGCACTGACCCGCCCCTTTCTCCTAACTTAAATTTGTCAAACAATTTTGTCAGCGTCGACGTCATCCACTAAGGGCAGCAGCGGCCATTGGTCAATGGTCAATCCATTGACCTGGCCCTATTGACAGACCCGGTCAGACCCGGTCAATGACAACACTGCTCCCGGGGCATGGTCTTGCTCTTTGCTGTGTCTAACCTTTTCCCATGCAGCTCCACATTTTTAGTCACACTTACAAGAGTGTGAAAGGTAGCGAGAAAGCCCCTGTGGACCATGGTGGTCGCCTCGAATGAATAGGATGGCTACTTCGTGTAACGAGACGGAGGTTCGATTCCTCCCGGGGGCATGGGAGCAGTTGTCAGGTTTTTTCTCATGCTCGGCATCTAGGTTAACATTTTATCTGCACTTCCCCGACTACGAAAGGGAGCCAGAAAGCCCTCGTAGACCATGGTGGTCACCTCGAATCAATAGTGTCCTGGACATCTAGTACAACGAGGAGAAGGAGGTTCGAATCCTCCCGGGGGCATCTGTATGGCCTCGGGATGTTTTGCTCCCAGCATCCACTCAACATTTTATCTACACTTATAGTGGCGCGAAGGGGAGGTTTGAAGCCCCCGTGGGCCATGGTGGTCGCCTCAAATCCATAGATAAATTTGGGGAATTGCTACGAGCCGGAGGTTCGAATCCTCCCGGGGGCATGCTGCGAGCCCAATGCTCTTTTTTGATTCTGCATCCAGCTCCACATTTTACCCGCCCTTACAAGACTGAAAAAGGTAGGTTTCAAGGGGCCGTGGAACATGGTGGTCGCCTCAAATCTGCATTACGGATGAGATAGATGGTTAACGAGAAGGAGGTTCGATTCCTCCTCGGGGCATGACGGCCGTGATGCCTTTTTTCTACATCCATTCACAATTATCCACACTTTCACTTTCAAGGGCACGAATTAGAGCTTGTAAGCCGTCGTGGATCATGATGATCACCCCAAACAGATAGACAGGTTGTGCAAAGGCATTCGAGCTATCAGACGGCTTTTGTGCCGTGCTCAACCGCCCGAGGCTTTTGATTGAACTTATGCTTGACTTTCAAGCGCACTTGCCAACACCAGAAAGAGTGTGAATAAGCCCTCGTGGACCGTGGCGGTCGCCTCCCTTCATGATGCGTGTATATTGTATAAAGGGTACACCTGTTAAAGAGGAGAAGGGGTTCGATTCCCCTCGAATGCATGAATTGTGATGTTTGCATTTTTATCTTGCAGTGTGAAATGAGGGAAATTTCCAGGCAGACTTGGGAAGGAGCGAAAGCAAATAAGAAAGCCTTCGTGGACCCTGGCGGTCGCCTCCAATTCATAGTGTTTAAAGTGTTAAGCTTTGAAGGAGGAAGGGGGTTCGATTCCTCCCGAGGGCATGAATGGTTTGTCTCACTCATTTTTTTTTCAGAATTCTGGACCGCCAGGAGATGCATCTGACAAGTGACCGCAGAGAGTTGGGAAGCCTTTTGGACTGTGGCGGTCACCTCCGCTTCATAAATACATTCAAGCGAATTCAAAGGAGTAGAGGAAGTTCGAATCCTTCCGAGGGCATGAGAGAATAGAGGTGACCTGTTTTTGGGGGGCAGAGTTCTAGCCAGGAGATGCACTTAGCGAGGGAAAAACGAGCCTTCGTGGACTGATGGTCACCTCCGTTTCATAAAAAATACAGGTGCATTCAAAGGAGGAGAGGGGGTTCGACTCCCCCGAAGGCATTCGTCAGGCGACGTCTATTTTTCTTTTTAGATTTCGCAGTTGTGGACCGCCAGGAGATGCATTCAGCGAGGAGGGAAAGGGAGGTAGTAAGCCTTTGTGGGCCGCGGCGGTCACCTCCGTTCTATGATCTATTAGCACCCGAAGCGCGAGGGAGGAGAGGGGGCTCGATTCAGGCCATATGTTGGAATGTTCACATTTCTTTGTTGCTGGTGTCAGCATTGGGGTAAATTCATTCAACCGTCTGATTCTAGCTCATCACCCAAAACCTGAATCCTGATCAATTCACCGAGAGGTAATGACATGCTTAGCTCACTAAATCTCGCCAGAAAACTTACTGACAAAGGCAGAATATGTACGGAACGCCGCGTCCGCGAAGAAATCGAGATTGAGGTCATGGCCGCTTCCCGGCAACACGGTCAGCTCAAAACTGTGCGCAGCCTGCCAGAGCACGGCTTCCGCCGTGGTCAACGCCGCAACATCATCGCACTGCCCGGTGCCCGCGCAAAAAAACTGGTCTTCCGAGCCAACGATCTTCGCTACGGGCCCAGTGTACTGCGGCACGGGCAGGCCCGTCGTAAACACCTGTGAGAACGTGCCCACGGACCCGACGTCCTTCGTAAAGTCGTCCAATATCATCATGCGGGGCGAAAACGAGGCGGGGTTCGCAGGGTAGAGGAGGCTGCGGTTAGTCGTCATGAGATATCCGGGGTCGAGCGTACCCCAGCGGAGCGGATCCACGTCCCGTGCGGCGGGAGGCGGCGCGGAGATGGGCCCCATTGGCACCGCACTTGGATTGAGCGAGGCCGTCAGTATGAGCCTGTCGAAGGGCGACTGCGCGCCGTCGACAATGGCGCCAAAGTTGAGCAGGCCTGACCCGGTGCTGTGCCCGATGCCGATGATCTTGTTGAAGGGGGCGACGGCCGGGAGAATGGATGTTGTTTTTAGATGGCGCGCCACCTGCGAGACGGCGGCCGTGGCGGTCGGATACTGCACATTGGACGCATTTGTTGGGCGCGAGCTCAACCCGACGCCCAACCAGTCGACAGCAAGCGATGAATGCCTGCGATCGCATGAGAAGGGGATTCTCTTGGCAACAAACCACCACGTGCTCTGGATCGGTGTCTCAAAATTTTTCGAGGCTTGGGCATCTGAGCACGTAGTGGTCCTTAGCTTCTTAGATACATGTCTATGCATTCCACGAACCCAATGAACAGAGGTAATACAGCGCCCCCCGGAAGAAACGCGGCGAAACCGACAACAGGGACAGCTGCACGCCCAGCGACGCGTACAACGCTGGACGCGGTGGCGACCGCCCACCTAGGGCTGAGCAGAGCAGCACTCTACCAGCCAAGCGAAGTCGATTGGACCGCCGGCGACATAGCCGGCGCGCGCACGTTCTTGATACAAAAGGCCTTCCTCGCTGCCGATGCGGATGCCCGCCCCTCGCTCGAGACCTTTTCCCTGGTGCTCCTGAGGATTGCGGTGGGCATGAAGAGTGCACCGTCTTCGGTAATGTACGAAAACACAGTACGCGCAGTCGCGTTTATTCTAGAGCGCCGAGATGAGGAGGCACTGCGGGGGGTGGAAGAGACGTTGCACGATGTCTCGCGAGATGTGCAGAAGATCCTGGCCTATGAGGAGGTTCGGGAAACCGGTGACCCTGCAGATGGTGACAGGGGCAACCTAGCGACCGAACTTCGGAGCGCGGCGGTCGTGTTGATGAAGACGGTCGAGGAGCAGAGTGGCGAGCTCTCCACCTTGACGGAGCGCCTGGAGAGAGGACTGGCGACCGTACTGGAACGCGCAGAGGCAGTCGAGGCGATGCCTTCCGCTGTGCCCTTGCGCGCTACAGGCTTGTATGCAGCAGCTGCGGCAACACCGGCCCCTGCGATGACAGTGGCGCAGGCAAGCGTGTTGGCGAGGACCGCGCACATGGCGCGCCAAATCCTCGTTGACAAGGCGCCGGACACGACCAGCAGCAGCCTCGCAGGGCTGAGCGAGCTTGAACTAAAGGAGAAGGCTAATATCGCGCTCACCATCATGGCAGCCAAGATGGACGGAGCGGCCTTCGTAGGCGCACGCAAGTTGCCAAATGGCGGCGTAGTCTTCGACTGCAAAGATGAGGCGACGGCGCAATGGGTGAAACAGCCCGAAGTCGGGCAGCAATTTGTAGCTGCGCTGGGAGGCACCTGCGTGTATGTTATGGAATATTGTAGAATTCATTATCTCATTGAATTCTCTGCATATTATTGATTATAATATTCTATTATTGGCTTGATAGTGAAGACACACTTCTAAACCATTATTCTGAGTCCCAGAACTTTGACTCAGACTCAAGTTCAAGCTTCTGAACAGCTTAAACTCAAGTACGTTCGCATCCATCAATATTTGATCGGAACTATCCGAGTTTGATTTGAACTCGTGCTCACTCCGAAAACATGTTCCCCACATGTTTTCCACATCAATTAAGTGCTAATCCCTTATGGTTTAGTACATGGCCAATCTATGTAGATGCTTCTTTACTTACACAGCACCTGTGAGATGTTTTGAGAATATTCCTGGACTTCCCGGAATATTCTAGAACATTTGCCACAATTCTTTAGTATATTCCCCTCACCTTCCAAGGAACATTCTAGTGCTACACAAGAATGTTCCAATGCTATGTAGAACTTTCTAGTATATCTACTTAGTATATAATGAGAGCCTGTCCTCATGTGACAGCACCACATCTTTACTTCAATCCACCACGTAGCATCTACAACTACCCCTCGAATAAGCTAGCCTAAGTTGCCTATAGCCGATTTCAACTAACTACCTAGCCCACTGTAGCCTATAGGAAGTTATTGCCTTGTGTTATCCCTTGTTAAGCGCAGAGCCCACTGGGACACAAGGTCACAATTGTAGTTATACTGGTTGACCGATTTAAGTTTGAGTCACTCGCATTGAGAATTTACGAACCCTGCTATCTGCTCTAGTCAGATACACTCTAACGACTTACGACCTATAAACTCATATTTCCAAAAACATCACTCACGACATCAGTAATCTATTACTGACTTACGCCCGCAAAACGCAAAACCCTAACAGTGTACCGCCCACGACGCATTGAGCTGCTGGCCGAGCTGGTGCCGGTCGAGACGCGATTCAAAGACGCGGGCATGTGGCGCGTTGTCGAGTTTGAGAGTGGGATTACCACGGGAGGCATCGCCGGCGAGCGGTGGATCAAGGCGCCGCACCGGCATGCAGAGGGACAGCGTGTCGCACACCTCCACGTCGAGTTCACGACGCCAGAAGCAGCTAACCATGCGATTGACAATGGCATTTTTATCCAGGGGAAGAGCATACGTGTCCGCAAATCGGACCACGAACCCCGGCGCTGCACCAGATGCCAGGCGTACGACGGGCACCTTGTGCACGCCTGCAAGTCGCCGGTGAACATTTGCGCCCACTGCGCAGCGAACCACCGAACCACAGACTGTCTGGCCACCGAGGCTGACTTTCACTGCGGCAACTGTAAGGTGAGTGGGCACACTGCGGCAAGCCGCGAGTGCCCGGTGTTTGCGAGGGAGCGAGAGCGGTGGAGAGCGAGAGACCCAACAGCGGGGTACCGCTATCTCCCCACAGCCGACCTGCGTACGTGGGCGTCCGATGCGGATCTGACGCCACGAGAGGCTGCGGCGGCAGGAGAATGGCAAAAAGTCAGAGCAGGGAACGGCAGGCTCGTGGGGGGTGCCCCTGGCCAAGGAGGGGGACGGCACCCAGATGACGGCTGGGCAGGACGGCGACGCGTGCTGGAAGAACAGACGCGGGGCAATCAGTCCTCCCGGGGAGTGCAACAGGTAAATTTGCCTGAAGCGTTCCAACGACAGAGCGAGATGCAGAGGCCAACAGATGTATGGCGGCGGCCGTCAGGCGCGTTGACGGGCGCAGCAGGCGCGACCCAACCGGAGACCCCAC